GAATTGTAGTTATTTTGTAGATTTTCCTCATTTACAGAGAACTTTAACTAATTAATCTTTTGACATATTGTTTAAAGAAATTGGTTCTGTGAAAGGTGAGTAAAAGTGGCGACAAACAAAAAGAAATTATCATAGTAATATTAATAGTTTCTCAGCTTTGGATCAAAGCTAAAATATCAATTATCTGGAAATAAAATACGTTATGAAATAAAATTGTTTATTTTGTATTGTTCCTTTTGCATAACGCCATTCAATTAAAAATTTTTTCCATTCGATTTTGGAAGCAGGAAAAAATTTTGAAAATTCCATAATAACATAATTTTATATTGTTAAACATTCCAATGTGTTGCATTAGATTATTCAGTGTATTTTTAAAATTTATTAGAAAATTTTGCAAGTTTAATAAAAAAAATATGTTTATGAAGTATAAATTTGCGTATTATAAATGTGGTATTTTTGTGCTAATGTAGAAGGTGAATACCTCATATACTTCAGAGTAATAATTAACATAATTAGTAGAATTATGTCTTATTAAGTTTTGGGAAACTATTATTAAAATTGTTTAACAACTATATAACTGATATTGTGTGGTAGACATGAGTTAGTATTATTTTTTTAAAAACTCGTAATTTTGTTTTGATCCATAAAAATGATTCCTTTATCAATTTTTAATATAAGTTGGTTTGATGTCTCAGTCATTTTTTTAGTGGCGTTGACAGTATTCTATTACTTTTCAACATCTACTTTCAATAAATGGAAAAATGATAACGTGCCGTTTGTAAGACCAATACCTTTGTTTGGTAACATCTTATATTTAGCATTAGGCTACGAACATCCAATCGACACCTATCGAAGAATATATAGCCAATTGGCAGGTAAAAAATATGGAGGATTCTGGCAGATGCGGACACCGTACTTAATGATTCGCGATCCCGGACTTATCAACAGGATTATAATCAAAGATTTTAATTATTTTGCTGATCGTGGTATTTACTCTGATTTTAAAGTAAATCCACTTTCAAATAATCTATTTTTTATGGGAGGTCCAAAGTGGAGAACAATTCGGAATAAAATGAGTCCGGCGTTTACTTCAGGTAAACTCAAATATATGCAAGAACAAATAAAGGAGTGTGGTAAAGAACTTATGCGTAATATAAATTCCAGCATTGAGCAATCACCAGATATAGAAATCAGAGATCTCATGGGAAACTATGCTACAGATGTAATAGGCGAGTGTGCCTTTGGTTTAAAAATAAACTCAGTCAATGACAAAAATTCGACTCTTAGAAACTACGGAAAATCCTTATTCAAACCAAATTTACGAATACTATTACGGGAGCTAAGTATAATGATCTGCCCTGTTCTTATTCGACTAATAAAGATCAAAGATTTTCCTACGGATGCCGTGAATTTTTTTCGTTCGGTTTTCCAGGAAACAATATCTTATAGAGAAGAAAACAACATAAATAGAAACGATTTTGTGCAGTGTTTGATGCATGCAAGAAAAGAATTGGTACTAAATAAAAACTTGCCTCCAGAAGGTTTGTATAATTAATAGTTCAATTTAATAAAAGTTCATTTTTCAATTATTTGGCTTTCTTTAGAAAGATTCACGGAATTAGATATAATTGCCAATGCTTTTGTGTTATTTGCTGCTGGATTTGAAACTACATCCACGGCTTTGGGTTTTTGTCTTTATGAGCTGGCATTAAAAAAACATATACAAGACAAAGTTCGTGAAGAAATTAAAGCAAAAAAGGTTGTACATGATGGAAAAATTACCAACGAATTTTTAATAGATCTCACTTATATGGATATGGTTTTGGCAGGTTAGATTTTCGGAATTATTATTTTTTCTATAATCTATGCTATTAATATTATTTATTATAAACTATTAATTAATTTTTTTTATTTCAAAAAACAAAAAGAATAAGGAAAATAAACAACATTGATAAATAAAATTTAATCGTTTTAGAAACTCTACGCAAATATCCACCTACTTTTGCTTTATTCAGAGAAGCGACACAAACCTACCAAATTCCAGATGATAGTTTAATAATCGAAAAAGGACAAAAACTAGTAATTCCTATCCATTCTCTTCATTATGACACAAAATATTTTGAAGATCCTGAAACTTTTAATCCGGAAAGATTTACTGCTGAAGAAAAAGCTAAAAGGCCTAATGGAACGTATTTACCATTTGGTGATGGACCAAGAATTTGCATAGGTACTTGAATTAATTAATATTAACGAAATTTATCAATTTAATAGAAAAATCTTAGATATAATTATACATATGCATTTATATATTTTTTAGGAAAAAGATTTGCAGAAGTAGAAATGAAATTAGCATTAACAGAAATATTATCTAAATTTGAAGTAGAGCCATGCGAAAAAACACAAATACCATTAAAGTTTGGCAAAAAAGCAATTATAGTTACTCCAGAAATTGGTATTTGGTTGAAGTTTACACCAATTACTAATTAAAACTAAAGGTATATGGGTTAAATGACATAATATCAAATAAATCGGTAGAATTAGTTATTCTATTAACTAATTTTATTAATGTAATAGTGTAAATTATTTTTGTGACAATTAATTACTTACTAAAAATAATTATAAATATTTGTTAAAATATAGCATATTGTAACACAAAAATGAATAATGAAAAATCATTTTTTCTAAAAATCTATTTCAACAACTATTCAAACAAATTACAATATTCTAGTTTAGAATTAATTATTTTTTAGCTTCCATGAAAAACTGAGAGAATATTAATTCTATGTTATGATTTTTGATTGTCAATAGAAATACTCAATTAATATTGTTTTTATGATTTTACTATATATGAGGGGCTTAAAATTTGAAACATATGTATATAATATTTTAATTTAACTTTTAAAAACTTTCCAAAAATCCTGCGTAATTTAGACATAAATATAACTATAGTCTAAATTATTTTCCAAAAGTTAAAAAATAATTGGCCCTACGACTTGTATCTATATATACCGGCCTCTATAGTTCATAAAAAATGTTATTTTTATGTAAAAATATTATTGTTTTTCTTATTGTATATTTACTAGTCCAATTATTATCATTAATACTTAAAGTATAAGAGTATTGATATAAAAGGGGAATTTGTACTCTCCATTAAAAAAAAAATTATTTTATTTTAAAGCTTCAATTACAGTAATGGTTATTAACCTAATTTTAAGTTTTATTTTTTTGAAGATAAAATATTCATAGTAAAAGACTCGTGTAATTTATAGTTCATTAAATACATTTTTCTCGTATTAAACATAAAATGAGCAAATAGAATTCAGATAAGATAATAATGAAATCATAAAACATTAATTATAGTTACTAAATGCAAGAGAAGTAAGATATATAGTAATATGAAGTATTCAAGATTCTATATCAGTTCTTCTAAACAGACATCATGCATCGTAGCCTCTTGCTAATACATTTCAGAGTACGGCGTTCTAAGCAAAACTGTGCACCTAACAATCTTTCCAGAAGTAAAAATAATTCCCCTGACAGAACATTTTCAAATTATAATATGCAAGTATGGCAGCGTAATGTATTACATTCAAAATTACACGAGTCTATAAAAACCTATGAACCAACTTTAAACAGTTGGACACATTAGGAAAATTATAAAAATCTATAATACAATGTTATTATTAATAGCTTTATTATTAAAGGTTGATTAAAAATAGAAAATATGATATTTTAGTTAAAAAATTTAATATTATACAATTTTTAAAACATAATAAAATTTTTTTCAGGGATCCATTTTTGAACCTTTAGATAATTATTTTAATTTGTTAATTTTGTTCAACTTGGAATTGTATGGTTTGTTAAATTTACTGTTTAATTCAATTAAGTGAGTTATTTTATTATCAAAGAAAAATTATCTGTCTAACATTTTAATTATGCCTTAAAAAATATTAAATAATAATTAATTATGTGTACCTAAAATAAATCACAATGGGTTTTATCTATAAGTATTTATACGTAATTCCAAGACTAGAATTAAATAGTTTCAAAATATAAATAAACTCTATAAGTATCACTTGAATTGTAATTACATATAATGTGTTATTAGATTTTATTCATTATCAGTTTTGTTGAATAGAAACTGTTAAATTATAAATTCAAAAATTATGTACATATTTAGTTTAGTACGAATAATGGAATAAATTAACTCCTAAATTATATTGTTAATGGCACGTTACCTCAAATCTCAAAAATTTTATACATATATTGTTTTACTTCTAGTTGATAAGTGTTTTTTTTTTAAATAAATGATTAAATATTTATAAATATATTAGATATAAATAAAAATGTTTATGCTCGATTTCTTTTGTTAATTCATTTGAATATTTTTAATTTTCACTCTCGAATCTATTTACTAATTATGTCCCAGAACGTTCTAATGATAATACAAAAAATGATCTCTAAGAATAACAATAATCTTATAAAAGTATTTCAAAATGATCTTTTATGATATTTTTAAAAATGAACTTTGATCTTAATGTGTTAATCTTTAATAAAAATTAGTATGTTATTTAATAATGAATTGATTTAAGTAAAAATTTTAATGTTTTAATTATTATATTCAAATTTGAATTTTAAAATGTCTTAACTGAAAAATCATTTTCTTCGACTGACGATGTAAAATAAATAATAAAGGTTATGTATAACTTTGACTATAATCATAAAAACTTGTGTCACATTTATTGCACCGTAATAGATTAATGTTTAATATTTTTGCATTATATGAACAACAGTGATGATAATTTAATAACATTTAATTCACAGTAAAAATATAAAATAATCATGCAATTAGCTATGGTTTAATAAAAAAAATGCTGTTTTAATAATGTGTACATTGAATCGCGAAGAAAATTAATTTTTGCAAAAATTTAGTTAAGTAACAAACATTTGATATTAATAGATTTATGTTTTTCATAAAACATTTAATGGCTGCTAGAAAACATTTATGGGAGATGATTAAAAAAAATATGACTTGTGCTTTTAACTAATGTTCTCAGTCGTGTTAAAACATTTAGGTAAGGCTCTTGTGAGCAATTAATTGAAAAATATGTTGAATTTTATAATCGATGTTTTAAGTCAGAAAACAATTGTGTCAGCCATAGCCGTTTACTTAATTTATGTTTATACTACATGGAGTTTTAGTTACTGGGCTAAATTAGGTGTAAAATGTCCGTGGTCACCAGTTCCTTTATTTGGACACTTTATCAAATCAATTTTAGGTTTACAGCATACTATGGAGGTGTTTGATACAATCTATCAGAAAATGGGCGATGAACCATTTATTGGTGTTTATACATTGAGAATCCCTCAGCTGATGATTAAAGATCCGGAAATCGTAGGTAATTTAAATATAATGCAAGCGGATGGTTCACTTTTATTGAATAAATTAAAATTTTTAGTAATATTATTACGTGTTGCATAGATTCTAAATATTTGTGGTGTTTATAATGACGAGTATGATTTATTTGTTTTTAATTTTGCACACCTGTTGCCGTGTAGTGATTTATTGAAAAAAACTTTACTGGAATGTATTGAAATTTTATGTAAAATATATCTTATTGTAATCATTTTTCAAACCGAAAACGCAAAGTTTAATGTTATTATCATCTATACCATTTAATGTTTTAAAATTGTAATAATGCATAAACGTTTATATGAAGTTAACGAATAAAAATTACAAATTGCCTATATCTTAGAAAAACAAATTTGTTTTTTGATATTTATTACAAATAGGTCGAGTTCTGATTAAAGATTTCCAACACTTTACCGACCGAGGAATTTACGCTGATGTTCATACTAATCCATTGAATAACAATATATTTTTTACGAGTGGTGAACGATGGAGAACTATGCGAAAAAAACTCAGTCCAACCTTCACGTTAAATAAACTGAAGCACATGATTGAACAAATCAAAGAATGTAGCGATAGCTTGTTAATGACCCTTAGACAAACTATGACGGAAGAGAAGTGTGGGAAAATAGAAATCCGTGAGATGATGGCCAAGTATTCTACCGACGTAATTGGCAGTTGTGCTTTTGGTCTTAAGTTAGATGCTATTAATGATCCAAAATCGGAGTTTCGCAAACACGGAAAAGCCGTGTGTACACCTTCGATCTATACACAGATATGGTTGGCTATTATCTTTATACAGCCATCTATATTGCGTATGTTTCGGTTAAACAATTACTCGAAAAAAAACATTACATTTTTCCAAGACGTTTTCCAGGAAACAATTAGAAAAAGGGAATTATATGGTGACAAACGCAAAGACTATGTATACAGATTGATGAAGGCCAGAAAAGAATTAGTTTTGAATCCGGATACTAATTTAAGAGGTAATTTGTCTATGTATTTTAAATATGTATAATTACTTCATATGATATATCTATGTATATTTGTATTTTTTTTATTGAAATTTTTTAGAAAAGTTTACAGAGACAGATATTGTGGCAAACGCATATATTTTATTTCTCGCCGGTTTTGAAACTGTATCTACTACTATTAGCTTATGCTTGTATGAAATGGCTTTAAATAAAGATGTCCAGAGGAAGGTACGAGAAGAAATAATGCAAATTCAATCTAAAAACGGAGGGAATATGGACAGTGATAGCTTAAACAGTTTACATTATACGAGTATGGTTATAAAAGGTATATTTTTAATTTATGACATTACTAAAAATATAAATAATTTTTATGTTTGGACTGCTGGATAATATATTATTAAAATTCATATTAAAATGTTCTACGAATAATTTTACAAAATAATTTGAATTACAAAAAAAAAAAAATGTTTTTTGATTTTTAGAAACTTTGCGGAAATATCCACCACTTATAGCATTAAATAGAGAAGTCACTGAACCTTACTTATTACCAGGTACAAATATAACGTTAGAAAAAGGAATGAAAATAATTATACCTATTAACTCAATTCACTACGATCCGCTGTATTTTCCTAATCCTTTTGATTTCAATCCTGAACGATTTTCAGAAGAGAATATAGGCAAACTTAGACAAAACACTTACATCCCCTTTGGAGATGGTCCTCGAATATGTATAGGTACATTTCAAATAACTTATATTTATTATTTAAAATCATATTAATGGAAATTTTGGAAAAATAAGTTTTTATGTACAACTTTTAATTAGTTTTCTTATACGATATTCACAAATACTTATCTCAAAGTTCATTATATGATGAACTTTAAGTACATGTACATTAAAATCACTTGATTTGAATTGTATTTTCTGTTTAGGTAAAAGGTTTGCAGAGTACGAAATAAAATTAGCTCTGTCGGAAGTGCTGATTAACTATGAAGTATTACCATGCGAAAAAACAAAAGTACCTGTTCAATTTGTCATTGGGACATTTGTTAACCAACCCAAAAGCGTTTGGCTTAAATTTAAATCAATAAATGGGATATAAATTTTAATTTATTTTTTATTTTGCTTTTGTAGTTTTTGAAAAAATATAATATTTATATAAAACTGATTTATACAATTTATTCAATTATATTTTTTAAAGGTTGTAATATTTACTTGTGATTTTTTTTAATTCTGAATATTTTCTATAATTATTTTTTCGTTTTATATTGACTGAATTATTTATTTTAATATGTCATTTTATAGGGTTTTATATACTCTTACAGCTAATATTATATAATACGGATACGTGAAAATAACAATTAATTGTCTTTTAAGAATTCATTTTTATATTATTATATAATTATACGATATTATTATATATTATTACATTGTTATTATTCATTATTTAAGAAATTATATAATAAAAAATTATTTTATTAAATTATCTAGTTCTTAAAAGGATTATTGTAGTAAAATGTAATAATCTTTGTTAAAATTTTATGTGTTTAACAATTAAAAAAAATATATTCGTATATATTGTGATTCCTTAGGATTTAAGAATATTCTTTAGTATTGTTTCAATATACATATTTTGTCAATCATTTAAATTATTCATCAACGGTAATATCGTTAAAAACTATTGCCGTAACGAAATTTTTATGGGTTAAATATTTCAATAATCCTTAATAAATACTTGAGGTCCGAGCCCTTTTTTCCTTAATTATTTAAAAAAGAAGTATGCAGGAAAACAAGTTTTTTGATATCCTACACGTTTAAATACATTATGCTAAAAAAACTATTAATTACTAATATACTACTACAGTACCCTTGTTATATTACATCTAAAGAGAAACAGAAAAAAATTCGAGATACGTTAACCTATCAAGTTTTATACAAATTAAAAATAAATAATTTTTTAAATTATAAGATTTTTTTTAATATGTAAGCAAAATTTGTATTTACCTACTTCTATCTTCAATGATGTTTTCTAAAGTTGATAATGTATTGAACGCGTTATTGTTTCATACTTTTTGATGTATCAAGAAAATGTCTCAATGTTATTATTTCTAGTTTAGCTTGTTGTATTGATGCCTGCTACTTCTTTTTTTTTTCTTAATTCTTGCTACTATCAGTATTTTTAAAAGATCCTAATCAAATTTCGTGATCCGTCCATGTTTCACATAATATGTAAAATTGTTAATGTCCAAGTTAAGATTATTAGCAACAAAATTTCAATTATCATCAGAAATAATTGAGTCATATAATTGAATGCAACTATCTCAATAAAATCTTAAGATAACTTTAACAATTTATAATTATGAAAAAATGAAAAATAAAGACTTGGAAATTTGGAAAATGCAAAACAATGAATACACTTTTTTCATTTAAACAACATCAATAAAATAAATTGTCATCTAAACTTTTTCTCATATTAACTGAAGTATGTGTAAAATTAACATAAAAATTAATTTAAATTGTTATATTGTACAATAAGTGTATGTGTAATATTTTTTATATTAAATGAGTGGCAATTATCAGACAACAAATTTGTACACTTTGAAAAGATTTTTTCTTTGTTGTCGGAAGTATTTGAGAAAATTTTAGAACAAGATCTTAAGTAGTAAAGCTTTTGGCAAACAATCTAGAGAAGCTTCTTTGTCACCTATTATTTTTGAGATTGTTGTAAGAGTTTTGTTTCATATATTTTTATCTAAAACTGCTCACTAACTAAGAAGTATTATCATGCGAAGAAACAAAAGTACCTGTTCAATTAGTCATTGGGACATTTATTAACTAACTCAAAAGCATTTGGCTCAAATTTTTATCTAAAACTGCGTTTTTTTAATATATTTTATTATTTAATATTCAATTTAATTTTCTGTTTTTTTAATTTTGTTGTCTTCAACTCTAACAGTTTGTACTAAATAATGAACATTAAGTTTTGATTAATTATTTCTGACTAAGTCAATCAGTATCAAAATGCGCTTTAATATAAACTGAATTAATTTTTTTAGTACTTTCATTTGCAAGTTTATGTGCTTTTTCACAGGATACTAAAAAGAAAAATAATATATTTTAATAAGATAATAATAACTAAAATTTTTTAGTTGAGTATAAATTATCTCATTTTCAGGATTTTTAATAAAAATATAGTATAATTATAAAAACAAAAAAAATTCTTGTTATGAAATACTTAATGAAAAATGATAAAAAAGTAAGATTATGAATAAAATATAGCCTAAAAAGAAATAAAAGCCCAAAAATAATTTTTATGAAAAAAATTTAAATACTAGAAAATTATTATGTATTAAAACTAATTAGTTAAATTAAAAGTTACTTAAATACTAACTTTTTGACTAGTTAGTGTCCAGCTTTTAGTAAGAGACTGATATGTATTACAAGTAAATATTATTTTTCAACCTCTTTCAGTAAAATGTTGAAATACGACCACAATTAATAAATATCAAAACATTTTTGTAAATATAAATTAAAAAAATGTAATTTCACAATTTTGATTTATTTTGAAACTTAAAATTTTTTTGACATAAATATCAAACAATATTATTTAAACTTGGTCAACATTAAATTAAATAATACGACAAGAAATTTATTAAGTAAAACACAATATAATATTATTTTTTATTACTTTTTAGATACTTGTTAAAATAATTGTAAAGTTCACAGTTTTAAATATATTATTTTAAAACTATTGTTTTACTCTTATTTAAAACAATTAATATTAAACATAATATGTTTAAATATAATGTTCAAATTTTTAAATTATGTATAAAACATAAAAAATAGTAAAAAAATTTTTTAGTTGAGTATAAATTATCTCATTTTCAGGATTTTTAACCTGAAATGATATTTAATATCATCTTCATTAATCATGGGAAGAAACAGATTTAACTGAAAACTTTTGATTCAATAAATATTTTGTTGTAAATTTTTTGTTTACAATTTTTGCATTCTTAACTACGTTAAAAGCATGTTTTTAATTATTTATTTAAAATAAATAAATATATATATTTTAATTTTTCAATGTTTAAGATTTTTTTGAGGTTTATTTACAATAATTTTTAATAGATCAATAACAAATACGTATTGAGTTCAGTGGCGCATCAATGTCCTCATGGACATAAAATATTATTAGCGGGGGAATTGGAGGAATGAATCTCCCTACTTCTCTACGTATTAAAAGCTATACGTACCCCCCCCCAAACAAAATTTCTAATTTCGCTACTTATCTGAGTTACTATTGTATAATTATGTTATCGGCTTCAAACAATATACCCGTATATCATATTATATTATTACCAAGTAATCAATTGGTCAGTAATCGCTCGTTGTTCTTTTAGTACACTATGTTTAAAAATGTTTAAAGTCGTTATCGAGTGTTTTGATTTAAAATTTACATTTCTGGCAATAGTTTTGGGAGTTTTGTACAGTTATTCTACTTGGTATTATAACTATTGGTTAAAGTTGAATATAAAATGTCTGAGACCTCCTATCCCACTATTTGGTCACTTTTTCTATTCCATTATCGGGCGAAAACATACGATGGATATCATAGATAATATTTATCAGAAAATGGGTGACGAACCATTTGTAGGCATGTACAATATGCGTACTCCAGAACTTTTAATAAAAGATACAGAACTTATAGGTAAAAGATAAATCAAATATCTTTATATAATATTATTTTTATTATAGTAATTAAAAAGCTTGTATCTATTTATTTTAAAACTAAAAGGCAGTTTTATAGAATAATATGATGAAGTCGTAGGACAAAGCATAAATAAGAACAAAAATCAAAATTTTCTCTAATAATAAAAACAAATATTGATTATAAATGAAAAAATATAGTTAGGTCAACCGAAATTATGGTTAATATAGTGACAACCTAATTATATAGTTATAACTATCTTATTTAGTTGAATAAAAAAAAAATCCTATATTAATTCTAACTAATGTTAAATACGGCTAACTATGTAATTGTGTAATAATAAAAAAAATAGGCTATGTTGGTTATATTGACCAAGGTTGTGATTTTTGGGGTTTGTTGAATTGGTTAGCATTAAAGTTTTTTAGATGATCTAGAGTCCGAAGGTGTAGAATAATAAAAACAATCTGGGAAGACTAAGGCATATTCGAATGTGGAGTATATTTGAATTGATTAAATAAAACTAGTCATAATGAAATTAAGCTCAAGTAAAATGCAGAACATTTATTCTATTGTAATCATCATTTGATATGTTTATTTTACATGAACTTAATTTATCACTACAGCTAATTTTATTTAATAAATTAAAATGTACTGAGGTACAGTCTTCCCTAGATATAAAAAAAAGTGATTAAAGTTCTTCTTTTTAGAGGTGTAAATACTGAGATATTTATGGAGTGGTGTAGGCCTTCACTTTGACACTCTGTTAAGTATATGACCTAACACTAACTAGTTATTAATAATAAAACTACATTATTTATGTTTTAAATTTAACTATTGCTTTATCATTTTTTACTCTCATTATTAATCCTAAATAATTGGGTTGACATAAATTGCTTTACCTTGTTTTTTAATTTCAAAATATTCAGCGACGTTCAAAAATGACCAGGTATCTTTTCAATAATTTTCTTATGCACTTCCGAATTTTTGGAAGAAATTATAATTAAGTTTTAAGAGCAGAAATGTAAATTAATGTCGCACTAATATGTACTGAAGACAACACGGGGCCGTGGTTAATTATTCTTTGTAGAGATATGAGGATTTGAGTAAGACTCAAACTGAATTTTGGATTCAATCTAGAACTCATCCTCTCGTTGGACGATGTGCGAGCAGAACTAAGCCTTTTTAAATTATTTTTAATTACCCCAATTTGGGATTATGTTGATAGCGCATTTGGTGATATTCAGTTTATTGTATTAAATTGAACATAATATGACTATTATTATAAGATAAGACGCATTACTTACAATGATCAAGTTGACACATACATACATATAGAATAAATAGTGTACAACAGCGTAAATGTTTTGACAGATAAATAAATAATTTGTTTGTATACAAGTCATAAAAAATATATATTATACATTTTTCAATGTAAAATGCGTAATGCAAAACATTGGACATATTACGACAGTTGTCACTATAATAACCATAACTATAAAATATTTTTTCCGTTTAAACGAATATTTAACACTTGTTTCAAAGTAGAGTTCCAAGAAAAATAATTTTAGTATTTCTTAGAAATTTTGGTTTCAAACTTAAATGATTGTTATATTTTGCTATAAAGTAGATGGTGATTATTTGAAAAAAAACAAGCACAGTGGGGTCGTGGTATAGTTAGATGATATACGAGTATAGATGATATCTGACAGTGAAAAAGGTTCGATGCGAGTGTTAAATTACTTACTGAAAATCTATTTACTAAATGACGATTATCCAATGGAATGTAAATTTTGTTTCGAATAGGTCAAGTGCTAATAAAAAATTTTAATAATTTTACTGATCGTGGAATTTATTACGACGCCCATGTCAATCCTTTGCATAACAACATATTTCATATTGGAGGAGAAAAATGGAGAACCATGCGTCAAAAACTGAGTCCTACTTTTACTACTAATAAGCTTAAAAACATGATTGATCAAATTAAAGAGTGCAGTGATAGTTTGTTAAGTACAATTGGCCAATTGGTCACAAAAGAATCTGGACTTATAGAAATCCGAGATCTGATGGGTAAATATTCTATCGATGTGATAGGAAGTTGTGCTTTTGGATTGAAATTGGACGCTATTAATGATCCCAAATCAGAGTTTCGGAAGTATGGTAAAGCTGTATTCACACCGTCTTATTGGAGTCTACTCAGAAATGCTGTTATATTCACGCAACCATCATTAGCCAGTATCCTTCAAATGAATAATTACCCCTTTAAAAATATTTTATTTTTTCGCAATGCTTTTGAACAGACTATTCGTGCTCGAGAACAAAGTGGCATTGATCGTAAAGATTTAGTACAACAGCTAATGAAAGCTAGAAATGATTTAGTGATCAACCCAGCATTAAGATATAAAGGTATTAAATTAAAAAATATTTTATTTTTAATTTTAAAAATCGTATTTTGATTCAAAGTTAGATTAGATTCATTAATAACGATTATTATAATAAAAAAAAATATTATAAAAGTTTAGTCTACATATAAAGTGTGATTTATTAAGTAACTACCCCATATATTTTCGATAAATGATGATTTGATAAAAATGTATAGATAAAATAAAATTTTTTCTTTAAAATCATTGCATATGTCATTGTTCAATATAAGAATAGATTTTAGGGGTAACTTTCAAAAGTTAAAAGGGAATTTATCATTATTATTTTTGTACTGTTAAATGGAGAATAGTCTAAATAAAATGTTGATACGTTTATAACCAGTATTATATTATTATTTTTTGAGTAGGTATAATTTTTAGTGTTTATAAGACACCGTACACTAATCTAAAAAAATAGTACTTTGGGGGACAAGAAATTATTAAGTGTCGGGTGCCACTGTATGCGCATACTATATAAATATTTTCTAAAACTTAGAATAATTCTAAACTAAAGAATTTAAACAATTTTTGTACATCAATATTTTTATTCGGAATAGAAAAACATAATAAACTTGAAAAAAAATAATAAATTTTTTTTTTATAAAAATTGGAATTTTATAAATATAATGAGTATCTCATTATATTTATTTATTTTATTGATCATGTATTTACAACTTCGGCATCTTAGGCCATTAGTTTCATTTTGTATTAATATTAGTGTTTATATTTTAAATTTCATTGTACCAAAATTTACAAATATACATTATATTTCTTCATCCAGCTTGGTCTCTTTGATAAATTGCAGTAGTATTATGATACTTTGGGTTCGGTTCTAATGATTCGTGAAGATGGGCAGAAATCTTATATTTGAGGTGTTGGTTTTCATACTTAATACATTCAGTTAAAATACGTTTTACTGTGGTTATAGGTTCCACATGATTCATATAGTGGCTCTTCTTTTCCTCCCATTCATGAGAAAATCGGGTTGTCCTATTCTCAGTCGGTTTATTATTACATTATCTTTACTTATAGGTAAGTATATGTTCCTCTTTTTATTTCTTTTATGTGGCCAAATCTTCTGTTTTAAAGTTTTAGTATGATTAATAGTATTTGAAGAGTCGCTTATAATGCTATTGCCTGCGTTGCAAATATACAGATATCTGACAGCTTGTACATTTTCTTATCATTTGACATAATGACTGCTATTCCAACTCCTTCTCAATTTTCAGAAGCATCAGTATATACTTATATGTGGTCATAGTAGTTATCTATTAAACTTTGACTTCAGGAAGTGTTTGGTTTTCTAATTCTGTATTAATTTTACATTCACTATACCAAAGTGCGTTAGAGTTATATTTTTTATTAACTATGTTAGTTAACTAAATAGAGTAACTGTTCATAACTTTCTTTTGTTCGTTACTTCCATGATATTGTTTTTGACTGTTCTTGCTAAATATTATTATTTATTTGCTAAATACCATTGTTAAGTTCTCCAGCTATAATGTAAATACTGTAGATGGATTACTTTTGAAGGCGCCTATAGCTAAATATCAGTACAATATTATTAGTGTTAGAAGTTATAAGTGTTGATTGGGTAGCTGTTATGCATAACATAGTTATGTTTTGATTTATTAAGTGATTTATGTATTTTTATAAGCGTATTTTCACCTCCTCCTCGGGATGTATGTGAGAGTGTTTTTATAGTGTTAACAGTTTGCATTGTCTTTCTTTTAAGATATTTGATCTAAGTTTTTTGTCTAATATGGCCCTTAGTATCTTGATCAAATTGTCTTATTTAATCATATGACTATCTAATTTTATTTTAAATTGTTCAATTTTTCATTATTTTATAAACATAATGCATTTTGTTTTGTCATGGGCAAATTTAAAACCTGATTGTGACGCCCGAAATGTAAGTTTGTTTATAGTATTTCGATGTTGTTCTTGGATTGTACTTTTGCTTTGACACCAAAAAATAAAGTCGTCCACGAATTAATTTAATTTATTTGGTGAAGTTGATTNGTCCACGAATTAATTTAATTTATTTGGTGAAGTTGATTAACTTATGTTGAATTCTATTGCTCATTTACATTTTTTTATTAAATAGTTTATTTTTGTACTACAGACGTTTTTGTAAAATATTTTTATAAATTAATAGCAGTTAACACATTGTCTCCCAGAGTGCTCTCTTTTCAGTCCAGTGCACGATGAGAGCCGTGTGTACAACATAGACAAATTCTTATCTGTATATTATGGTAAAAATAATATTCAAACTATAATATAGTTACGCAATAAATTTAGTTGTACGCTTATCATTCAAACTAGTAATATTTTTAAATTAACGAGGTGTTTTGATTCTTTTTATATAGAGCTAACAAATTATTAATCAAAAAATTCTGATATCAGGTAAATTCATTTTAGGGTTATAATCTCTCACATTTCAACCACACAATTGTTTATTATAATGAATAATGCTAATAATAAAAACCATAATGTTGTCGTTTAAATTTTTTTTTGTTGTTAAAAAAAGATATAAACTATACAAATATAAAACAATTACTTATGATAAAAATAATATTATTGCATATAAATAACTTTGAAAAAACAATAACTTGTGGAAACTCTGTCTTGTGGCGGGACTCCAACTAACTTAAATAATTTAGTAATTTAAAGAGCTATTATAACATAATTAATTTTATAATTGATGTAGATCTCTACTTCAAGATCTTTTTAGGTGACGTGGAGGTTTATTTGAAATTTTTTGTGAGGACAGCGTTTTAATAAGAGGTTTTGGTTGATTTTAAAATCGGTTGTGTAATTTTTTGTATTTGAAGATGGCAGTTTGTTTTACGGTAAGGTGTTAAGATCATTATGCATTGATTAATTTGATATGTAAGGAGGGGCGTTGAGTATACGGCGAAAATACTTTGATTGGAGAACTTGAATTATGTTAATGTTCGACATTTTTGCTGCAACCTATAGCTCAATATCGTACAACTACATAGTTTAAAAAGGCGTTTATATATTATGACTTTGTGTGCAAGTCAATTTTGACATTTCTATGGTGTAATGGCTATAGTGTACTAAGACGCTAAGACGGTTCACAGTTATTAATTTTGGAATGGATGTTGTGCGACCAGATAAGCTTATTGTCAAAGTTAATACCAAGATATTTAACTTTAATTGAAGTGAGAATAGGATTATTATTAATAAAAACTTGTGGGAGATTGATAGCACGGAGAGTAAAAGTAATATGACAGAATTTATTTTCATTTAACATAACGTGCCATTTTTGGTACAAGTCATGTGGTGTAGGTGTAATATAAGTGGGACAGGAACGGTTGTTTGATATAGTTTATGTACTAATATTTTCGTCTAATA